AAAACTAATTTCAGAATCTCGGGTATTATCTGATCAAGGTGGACAACAGAGACATTGTTTAGACTAGAAGGAAACTATTTGACTGTAAAGAGATAACTGCAATACAGTGATCAAGCACCCATGTCTTTGGAGTTGGCTTATGTTTTAGTTTTGCTGATAGCTAGCTCTTCCATTTTGTAGACTCAGGTTTCCAGTCTTTAAAATGAGTTGATAATAGTGTTGTTTGGATTAATAATTTAGACATATTATCAGGAAAGGTCAGTCCTTGGAAGGAGGCATCATGTTTAGAAGGGTGCAAGGTCAGAAAAGGAGAAGCAGACACCCCCCCCCCAAAGATGGATTGGCATGGGAACTGCAACAGTGCACTTGAGCACAAGCAGACACTGTGATGACGCAGGATCAGGCAGAGTTTGTCTGTTGTACACAGGGTCTCTAATGAGTTAGAGCTGACTCAGTGGCTCCTCACACGAGCAAGTTGCCTTTGAGTTACGGTATTGGAGAAGAGTATTGAATATCCCGTGAACTGCTAAAAGAACAAACAAATACGTCTTGGTGAAAGTGCAACCAGGGTGCTCCTTGGGGGCAAGGATAGAGAAACTTTGTCTCACATACGTTGGACACATTGTTAGAAGGGGCTATTCCTTGGAAAAAGACATCCTGCTTGGAAAAGTGGAGGGTCAGCAAAAGAGAGGAAGCCCCTCACCAGATGGATTGACACAGTGACTATATCAGTGGGTTCGGGTGTATCGGAGAGGATGAGGATGGCACAGGATAGGGCAGGGTTCAGATCCATTGTTCAAAGGGTAGCTATGAGTCTTAAGTCATTGACTTAATAACAACAACATGAGCCACTTGTTCATGGAGATAAATTAGCCACCATTCCATATCCTCCAGGTGTTCCCAATTCTTCTTTTTCTTTTGTTCCAGAAGAACAGAGAGCAAAACTGTACTCTTGATGTCTTCTTGAAAGCCTGTATGACTCCAGGTACCATGCATGAACTAAGAGATAGAGCAGAAGCATTTAACAAGTTCTTAGACCAATTAACTGGGATGTTTCATGAAACTGAGACCCTAAGCGTCCTAAACCAGGAGCCAAATTCTCTGAGATGTTTAGCATCATAAACACTCTCAGCAAGCTGCTCTGTTTTTGTTGTTTTAAGATATCTATCATACAGCTTTTGCCAACTCAACATTTTAGAGGTATACAGCTTATTTATGGGAGCCCTGGTAGCCTAGTGCTAAGGAGTTGCATTGACAATCAAAAGGCTTATGGTTTGAGTCTCACAGAGCAACTTTGGAAGATGTGAAAGATGAGAAATCGTTCAACTTTTGCCAACGCAACTTTTTAGGGTTGTACAGCTTATTTACAGCAATTACAGTGATCAGCCGTGCAACTTGGCCCTTAATCATTGCTATTTTTTCCATCACTGTTAGCCCCTCATTTCTTCTTCCTTCTTGCCCTGGTGACCACTAATCTTCTACACATTTGCCTTTTATATATAAGTGAGATCATACAGTATCTGTCCTTTTATTTGTTTAGTGTAAGAGCTATAAGCTTCATCTATACTATAGCATGTATCGATTTCCGTTTTCCTCCTGACTGAGCATTCCATTGTATGTATATACCACATTTTATTTATCTGATCATCTATTGATGAACATTTACTTTATTTCCACCTTTTGATAAATGTGAGTAGTGTTGTAGTGAACATTGGTGTATACCCTCATATAGATCTGTCACAGTGGGGAAGGGGATTTCGTATAGTATATCTAAGAAATGCTTAAAAAACAAACTGTAAACCAGTTCCTAATGAGTTTACTGAAACTCTTGACCTGGGCTCCAGAAAGTCTTCAGTGACTGGTTTTTCAGGATTTTGACAAGTCTTTACTTTAGACTCATGGTGAACCTCTGACATTTGGATCAGCAGCCAAGCACGTTCACCACATGACACCCAGGGACTCCTGAAGCGTACTGAGAGTCTCTTTAAAAGATCATGTGTATTCATTTCCAGAAGGCCAGTCCTCTCTAAATATCTCACATCACTGTTTTTGGAAATAAGCCTTCCTTTTATATGTAATTATCAAATTTCTTAGGCAGAGAAAGAACCTTGCTTCTCATAGAAACTATGTACACACCAATGTAACAGATGATAGTAATGTTTGTTGTAGTTGTGAATATTTGAAACATTCATTTATTTTTTAAAAAAATGGTACTTAAAAGATTGCAAAAGTCAAAATCATTAAGTCAGAGTCTGATTAAAATCTAGTTTATTTTGGGGGCATTTGCATTATATGTTGAGATGGTCGAGATTGACACAAATCAATAGTTGCAAAGAATACATTTTTTTAACAGTTTCACTTAGCACTTGAACATATGCTTTAATTAAATCATTCCAGAAGTCTAAAAGATAAACAGAGGGAAATTTAACAATATTGAGTAACTAATTTTCCTATTTGCCAGTGTAAAATTTAGAGAATATACATGAAGTGTTGCCTCAGAAATAAAACATTGAGATGTTTAACAATGTCATTTTAAGAGTGTACATACGCTAGTATCTGTCTGTATCTGCTTCATAACACTTATTTTCTTCATGACAAATTCCCATTATACACCAAAATAATTGGTAACTCTGTTTTAAGGGAGCTCTGATTCCCTTGGAGTAATGAGTTGTGCTGTCAATCCAAAGGCAGGTATTTGACTCTACTCTTTACACCATGGGAGAAAGAGGGTCATTCTCCTCCCTTGCAGTTTATTTCCTCTGAAAACCTACTGAGGGACCATAAAGTATCTATGTGGGATCAAAATGACAACAGCAACTCAAATGGTTAAGTAGGAACCTTAGAGGACAGTGATTTATGCCAGTAGAAGAACAAATCCACAAAGGAGGGTGAGAATGGATTCACAGTTTGAAGAATATAATCATTATCACTGAATTGTTTGTGTGGATACATTGGAATTAGTGTATAATTTGCTGTGTTTATTCTCAACAAAATAAGTTTCTTTTTAAAAAAATTTCTGTGTATAGTACAGTTGAATCTTACCAATTTTTAGTTAAGTATTTCAATAGCTGCCTCCATTGCTATGTGGCAAGGAAAAATGGCTTGTGCCTGGCTAGCATTGCTGAGTATTTTGATTAAACCTGAAGAAGACTGATCAAAAAGGAGAAAATGCAGGACAGAAATTCAGATTCTCAGGGTCAGTAGTTGGAGCCGTAGAAGGTGGATGAACTCCTTAAACTGTTGTCCTGAGACCATCTTGAAACCAAAACTATCCTCTGAGGTCTTCTTGAAGAGTAGTTTAGCTTAACTAGTTAAGAATGTCTGCCTTAAGCACTTTTTGTTTTTGAAGATTTATCTGTATTAGTCCAAAGGATCATTATTGTTGTTGTTGTTGTTAGGTGCCCTGGAGTTGAGTACAACGCATAGTGACCCTATGAACCTTATCTACATACTCTGCATAATCTCTTTCTATATTGTTCTGAACCTTGCTCTATCCTCACATCTCTGACACATTAGAACCCATAGCAACTCGAACTACTAAACAGGAGACAGGAGAGAGACAGTGAGTTTTTTTGTAATGGCAGAACAACAGCTTGGAAGAGCACAGTAAGAGTAGTTTGAAGCTACTGAATTGTCATGCGGTCAACTATGTACATTCTCAGCAGCCATGACAAAAGCAAATTATAAAATGACATCTCCAGTTCTGCTTGCTGCTTGAAGTTCTGACTCTGAGAATGTCAAGTCATTGGTATCTAAAGATATTTCTAGGCCATGAAATTTTGCATCATATTAATATATGAAATATATATATTGATATGTTCAAATAAATACTATCAATAAATACAATGTATTGTTATACATAGTATCAATAAATACTATGTATATACTATTTATACTATGTATCAATACTTTGTGTTTATATTGATACAATGGTGGCTGCTGCAGTGGGCTCTAATGAGCCAGGAAGTGTGAGGATGCCACAGGATAGGACAGGGTTCAGATTTTTTGTTCATAGCATCTCTATGAGTTGTACTTGACTCGACGGCACTGAATAACAACAACAATATTAAATATATATTCATCTTAATAATACCACTTATATAGCACAATTAATATATAATTTATATATATATATATCTATGTCTGTCTGTCTATCTATCTATACACACACACACACACACACACACACAGAGTAGACCATTGATCTACATAATCTCTTTCTAGATCTGTTTGTTGTAATGACTGTATTACATGGGTAATACACCCATTGAGGAAGGAAAATTTTGTTTGGGATTTTTAAGTATTTAATTTTATTATTTTTTGCACATGTACCATCAAATCGGATCTGACTGGTACAGGAGGACCTTGTCCCTCGTTTTCCAGCAGAGTATCTGGTGCATTTGAACCATGCACCTCTAGGATTGTGGAAAATTTTGTTTGGAATTTTTTACATTTTTAAATTTTATTTTATTATTTTTTGCGCATGTACCATCAAATCGGATCTGACTGGTACAGGGGGACCTTGTCCCTTCTTTTCCAGTAGAGAATCTGGTGGGTTCGAACCGTGCACCTCTGGGATTGTGGAAAATTTTGTTTGGAAACATAGTACCAGGTTTTCTCTTTCATTCAGTTTGTGTTGCCGTCCTGGCCAAACACTTAGCAAACCAGTGGCCAGTGGAGTCCGTTCTGACTTAAAGTGACCTGGGGAAAGCCAGAGTAAAACTGAGCTCTGGAGGTTTTCACTGGTTGATTTTTTTTTTTTGGAAGTGGATTGCAGGTCTTTTGTCCCAAGTACCACGGGTGAACTCAAACTGCCAACTTTTGAGTTAGCAGCCCAGCATATTAACCAGATGTGCCACCCAGAGACTTACACTGAACACTAGAGATACTTAATGAAAACAAAGAGGGTAGATAGTTTATACATGTGAATTCAGATAGGAGAGAACATTTACCCATGTAAAAAAAAGAATTCTTTAATGGACTTTTATGTTTTATTTTAGATTCACAAGAAGAAGATGAACAGCTGGTAGCAGAAGTGGTTGAAAAATGTTCATCAGAGACTTGTTCCAGACCCTCAGAAAATGAGGTACCACAGCAGGCCATCGCTTCTCACTCAGTCAAGGATTTCAAAGAAGAACCTGAGTATGATGTTAGCAAAGTGTCCATAGTGAGGCCATTTTCAATAGAAACAAAGAATTCCACAGATGTCCCAACAGCTTTTGGAATGAAAACATCTCATGGCTTTGTAACCCCAGGCTCTGGAGAGGCTCTCCTCTCTAGTACACCAGAACCCAACCTGCACAAGGCAATGACTGAAGCCGACATGGGGATTGCACTGGAGGCTTCCACAGAAGCCCATGCAAAGACAGGGAAGCCCTGTGCAGAGTCGGTGCCCAGCAGGAGCAAGCTAAGAAAGCCCAAGCCGGTCTCTCTGAGGAAGAAAGCTGTTAGTGGAGACTTCTCAGAAACAGAACCTGTGGTGGAGGGCTACCCCCTGTCTCGAGCCTCCTATCAGGTCCAGCATGATGAATTGGATGAGAACGCAGATTCCTTGACTGGAAGTGCCAGGATGCAGAAGTCTCCCACTGAAGTTAAAGACACCTCAAGCACTCCCAGCAGTGACACCAATGATTCGGGGGTTGAGCTGCTTGAAGAGTCAAGGAGCTCACCTCTCAAACTTCAGTTTGATTTCTCAGAAGACATGGAAAATGTTGAGACCAAGAAAGCCCTTCCCAGGAAACTTGGCAAAAAACTGGGTAACAAACTGACTCCCAAGACACAAAAAGATGACATCAGTAAACCTGTAGAGGCCAAAGGTGTGGAACCAACTGTGGACGCCAAAGCAGAAGATACTCCTGTCTCCTACGCGTCTTCGAAGCTGGATCCTAATCAGTGGGAGAACCCCAACTTTAATCCCTTTGGGGGCCACTCCTCTCTACAGAACTCCCCACCCCTCTCCTCTCAGGGCTCCTATCGCTTTGACCCAGTTAACTTTGATGAATCCATGGATCCCTTTAAATCAACCACAGCTTTAACCGGCAGCGACTTCTTGTCTACCACTGGTAATCATGTTAATGAAATCTTAGAGTCACCCAAGAAGGCAAAGTCCCGTTTAATAACGTGAGTGGCGATGGGTGCTGGGTGTTTGTGTTCTGTGTATTCTCTGTGACTTTGGCAGCCAGTGGCTTTTGGTTTGGGGGAACTGAACTTTGAGGTGCAACACAAAACTTACAACTTTGGAGCTTATAACTCTGCACTGAGTCACTCTTCTTGTTTACCTCTTTGTGTGTTGTTGTTGTGGACTGTAGAGTCAGAACTGACCCATACCTGACCCTCTAGTAGGTTTTTTGCGGTTAATTGCATGGGAGGTGATTGTTCATCCTTCTCCCATGGAGCAGCTGGTGGATTCGAACTATCTGCCTTTAGGATTGCAGCTCAGCTTCTTGCCACTAGGGCACCAGAACTCTAAACTTACGACTTTCAAGCTTGTAACTCTATATCGAGGTTTTTACACTTCTTCTTTATCTCTTTGTGTAGAGTCAGAATTACTGCTAAATTTCCATTTTTAGAGTCTCCTACCCACCCCAAGTAATTTCTTCCTAAAAAAATAGAGTTAGAGAGAGAGAAAGAAAGATTTGATAGTTTTCAGAAATCCTAACTGAGCTTTCAGGATTTGCTTTTATGTACAAAAGTCAGGTGCCACTGCTAGTTATTATATTCGTGTAAAACTGAATCCCAAATCTATAAATGTCTAGCTTCAGTAGCAGTTAGAATATGGTCTCAAAGGGCCTGCTGAAAGTGAGTCCACTTAAACAGAGAACTGCGATTTTTGTTATAAATGCACCAGCCTCCACAAGTTAAGAGTTCTTGAGCCTCCTTCTATAGCTCTGGTTCTGTGACTAAGGATCTTTCTTTCCAGTAAATTTCTTCAAACCGCCTGCTGCCAGGTTGATTCTGACTCATAGCAACCCTATAAGGTAGAGTGCAGCGGCTCACCACAGAGCCTGGGTTTACAGCCAGGCTGTAAGCCTTTAGGGAAGCCGACTGTTGCTTCTTTCTCCTTAGAAATGGCTGGTGGGTTCTAACTGCTGGCCTGGTGGTTACCAGACCAGTGTTTGACCCACTGTGCCACCACCAGGGCTCCTTAGATCAGGAATGTTTAAATCGTCAATTAACTACGACAGAGTAGTCTGTTTTTGTTGTGTGTTGTTCATATCCTTATCCTCCCCACTCTGGTTGTTTCTCCTGGGAAATCTGGAGCCTCCTTTTTTTTTCTTTTCCCGCTCTCCTTTACTATTATTATTATTATTAATTTTAATGGACATTTGCAAAGACTTTGGATTTCCGTTCATTCATTGTTGCACTTTTCTCCCTGACTTTAATTAATTATATTGTTTATTATCAGACAGGAAGATGAGAGTACATTGTAGGTATCATTCTTAAACCACCTCTAACATTAAATGAAGAATTAACATTTTATATCAAGATCTGAATAAGCCAAGTTGTCCCAGTCTGCTTTCTCCAAAATTTGGACATCTAAACCATCATTTAAAAAATGCTTAGTAAGGATTTTCCTATGTACCTAGTATTATAATTGTTTAATTAATAAATATTATAATTGTTAAAAAAAGAAATGAATAGTATTTATTACCTCTTTAAATCTTTGGAATAAATTTAGTATAAATTCATGCCAAAGAAATATTATGTGTTTTCCATCTCTGTATTTGTTAGTTGTAGGGTTTAACAAATTAGTTTCTGTAAACTTCAAAATGTCCTCATTTGTAAAATGAGATGAGTCACAAAGGTTCATAATATTTACGTTGTTCTGAATATTAGATAATCTTTTTACATGTACCATATTGGATGGGTGGTAGTGACAGGGTCCCAGCAGGGTAGGTTAAGTTGGGCCGTTAATCAAAAGGTCTGCGGTTTGCACCACCAGCTGCTGCTCTGGAGGATGAGGAGGCTCCAGGGAAGAGCCTCGTTCTGGCAAAGCCCTTACACTGCAGGCCCTACTTCATGTCACATTTTATTGTAATGTCATTACAAAGTTGACCCCAGTGCTGCGTAGTCACTTATGACTCACAGCAGCCCTACAGGACAGAGTCTAACTTCCTCATGGGATTTCCAGGCTGTAATCTTTTTTTTTTTTCCCCGTTGCCGCTTGATACTTCTTTATTCTGGTAATGGTGCTTTTTTCCAGGCTGTAATCTTAATGGAAGCAGCCAGCCACATCTTTCTCCCGTAAAGAAGCTGATTGATTCAAACCAGTTACCTTTTGGTTACCAACTGAATGTTTTAACCATTTTGTCATCAGACTTCCTTTTTACACACTTACTTAATCATGACACTTAAGGCAAAATAGATAACAATATGACTCTTAGTAGTCCTAGAACTTATTAAAAGTTAGATATAAAGAGTTGATGGATGGAGGGTGAACTATGGAAAGGGAAAAAGGAAAAGCAGTGCCGTATACCATGTTTGTAGTTGTCGTTACACCTTTTGGGTGGTAAGAATGGTTACATGCTGAGCTACTGACACACCTAGATGTACCTCAGAAGAAAGATCTGGTCCTCTGTGGAAAATCCCAGCGTTGAAAACCCTGTGGAGCAGTTCTGCTCCACACGGGTCACCATGAGTCTGCATTGACTCAGGGAAGCTGGTGTGGTACTGGTGTAGATTGGTGGAGGAATTACTCCTCCTAAGTGTAGATTGTTGGAGGAATTATACTCCTTAATATAACAAAAAGGCGAAACAATGTGGTGAATTATGTGGAGAGAAAAGGACTAGCCAGAGGTTGCCACAGTATCTATGTCAGGCTCAAGAAGGGTCAGTGTGTTAGGAAGCAGTTGGTTGGCAATATCAGAACATCACCAGGAATGTAAACGAGAAGACTGCAATATCATTAGGATTTCTCGATCTGCTCACTGAGTTTGGGTTATATATAAGCAGCTAAATAATATTGATTGAAAAAACCAAAAATTCTCAAACTCCTTACTGTCAATTGGGAACTGACTCATTGCTGGTCCTCCGGTGAGTTTCCTGAGTTAAATCACATGGGAGGAGATTGCCCATCTTTCTCCCTTGGAGTCAGACTTGCAGAAAGGCTTGGCCTTTGGGTTAGCAGAGCAACTCTGCTGACTTACTGACTAAGCCACCAGGGCGCCAGTGATTGATCAGGTGCCCTCACTTTAGAGCTCTCCTGAGGCTTTTAAGGTCAGTTGGCTATGCCCGGACAGCAGTGGGGGTTTTGTTGGGCGTGTTGCTGCTTTGGGGCTAATTATGGGGTGTTTCTGCCTACCAGAGAGAGAGTCACGTGGGACCTTTCCTTTCAGTTGCATGTTGGAGGTACTTAGCCAGAGCATGCATGCTTAAGAGTAGATACTATTAAATCTGAGCCCAAAGGAGCAAAATTTATTCTGCTATTTTTCAGTAGCAAGAAGCACTGTCTGCTTTTGCTCTTATTTTGGTCTTTGGTAGATGAACTTCTTGATCTAATTTACCCTATAATTTTTTTTCTTCTCTTTAATTCTTGTGCATTCAAAACTCTTGTCTCATTTTTCATCCTGCAGAGAGGGACACTAGACCTTTTTTTCATTTTGTCTTGGTTTAAAATTTTTTTTTAATTTTTATTATTTGTGTATCATCAAGTCAGATCCGACTGGTACAGGAGGAGATTGTCCCTCCTTCTCCAGCAGAGCATCTGGTGGATTCCAACTGCTCATCTCTGATATTGCAGTACAGCTTCTTGCCGACACTAGACATTTTGTGTAACACTACTTTTGGTTAGCAAGTCCTTTCATTTAAAGGAAAGACAGGAAATGATTGTGTGGTAGTAGAATCTAATGGAGAATTACAAACTCTGTTAATGATTTATTTGTGTGACTTTAAAAAGCTTCATACAATTCTCAAGGGTTTTGGGGTTTTTTTAATGGGGCACCATGATATAACTAGGAGTTTATAGGTTCATTAAGATAAGTTAAAGTGTCATGGTGACACACAAAGTAGATCTATATTGAAATATCTTTTTATTCATGCGTTGCCTTTGCTCTGACTGACTAATCTGTAAGAATAAATGCACTCCACAGAGAACTGTTGCTTTTCTGTGTTTACAAATATTTGGAAGTCACTTTTCATCTGTAAGTCTGAGTGATATTCCTGAATATTTCTACCCTTCTCTTACTTAAAGGTTGAGATTCCTGATAATCTTTCCCTCATGAATGATAACATGCATGACTATGCCACCTTTAATTTATGTGTCACCTCATAGAAAGAACTTTGCAACCTTTGCATCTACCAGACTAGAGAGAAGTACTTCAGTCTTCACATGATTTTTTTTTCTCCATCTGTCTCTTTCCTGTCAAATTTTTTTGGTGCCTCAGGACTACTGAACAAGTGAAATTTCTCTGTTTTCTGTTGTAAGTACTCTTGTTGTAAGTCTTCTTTGCCTTTGGGACTATTGACAGTTTCCTCCCTGAATTGTACCCAGATCATCTCTCCATAGCATGTGGCTTCCATTTCTGAGTTTGATCTGATGTTATTTTGCATTTCATTTGCCATGTCATGAGCCAGCTTAGCCCTGCAATTACCTGTACCTGAAGGAGTGGAGACCAGCCGACCTTAGGTGCGAGAGCTTGCGCCCCCTGGCTTGGCACGTGTCACATGGCACTTTGGCAATACCGAGTGCTGGCTTGGCCCCAATCCAGGGACCTGGGCACTGGCTTGAGGGACTGCTCTGCTATGTAACATTGACGATAACTGGCTTTTTTGACAGGACAGGGTTGCTGGCCTGGGACAGGGGATAAATTGAACTGAGTCAACTCTGAGGCAGGGGCAGCACTTAGTAACAGGATAGGGAGAAAAGACCCCTGATTGATAGGTGTGTTTGTCTTGCTTTCTGCAGAAGTAATGACGTTTTTAACAGTATGGTATTTTCATTGGCAATTATCAGTTTGTTAAAACAACAGAATCTGAATTCGTCCCACGAGCACAAATTCTATGCTGGTTGAAAAATCACTGGTGGTCTGTGTTTTCCCCCGTTCCAGACTTTGTCACAGCACACGGCATTCCTCCTCCATCATATGACTCAGTATGAATGGTAGCAGTTTACGCAAATGCTTTTGTTGTTTTCACATTCTTCTGTGTTAGCAAACCAGTCTAGGCTGGAGCTGTCTTATCAGACGTCTGTGGCTTTTAGTGCAATAAAGAATATTTTTAAAGAATCTGGTCAAGCGTGATGATTTTACTAATGAATGTCAAAACCAAGCAAGTAAGGATCCTGCTGAACCGAACTGCTGTAGACGCAGAGGCAATTCGCTGAAAGGCTTTTGCTGGTGTGTAAGCGCGAACTGTCGAGGGCAGAATGCTGCTGCTTGCTGTCCACGGAAGCAAGCGAGGAGGCCCTTTCAGAGTGAGCTGAGCTAGCGTTCCTTGGCTCGCCTTGGGAGGAAAAAAAAGATTCTGAGAACTAAAACGAGTTTCCAGACCTGATATGTAGATGTATGCTGTGTGCGGCGCTGTCTGCTTTAGCTTTTCTCTGCACATCCTGCTGTCTGTGCTCCATCTCACACCTCAGAAGTTGTCACTGTGATCCAGACCTGACCTGTTTCTCTCCTTTCAGGAGCGGCTGTAAGGTGAAGAAATATGAAACTCAATCTCTTGCCTTGGATGCATGTTCTCAGGTAAGTGTGTGCCTAATTCTGCAATGTCTCAGATTGTTGATCCCCAAAAGAGAACACCAATGGTCTTAGGGGTCCTGAAGACTTCTCTGGGTGTGTGAGTCCTGAACTTTGAAAGAGCCAGTATCCAGGTCCTTAATTTCCACAAGTGGTCTGAGAGGGCACACATGGTCCCTCCACAATTGCCCTTTTCCCCGTTGTTTGTTTCTTAAAATCCCTTCTCACCCAATTTAAATCTTACCACAGCAAAGAGAAGATTTGCAATATTGATGTAGTTCTAAAAAGTGATCAATTCTAATGATGGAATAGCTTTTTTCTTTTCAAGTCAAATGTTTTTTCTATTCATTGCTTTTAACAGAATGACAGCTTGAGTTATTGGCTGACAGATGGTTAATAATTTTTAATAACGTTTTTCACTACATAACATGAAAGGGATTCAAAGAATTGAGAGACATCTCTTAACAGAATGCCCTTCTGTTTCATGTATTTGTTTTTATAAATAACATTTCCTTTGATTTTAAAAGAGAAAACTGAGACTGTAATGATGCTGATCCTTGCTTTTTTCTAACAATAAATATTATTTGTCATTGACTGAACCCATATTGGCTGAACTAATAGGGAAGTATAAAAACCAAACACCTCAGCTTGTCTTATTGCAATGAAACCTATTTTAAATAAAAATTTACTTTTGTGTTTGCTAATACTTTATAATATTTGCAATATATTTTAAAATTTTGTATGGATAGTTATTTAGAAGAAATATTTTAACTCTTGGACACTATGGTTTTTGAACTATAATTTACAAACTTAATAAGAATGGAAATTTTTAATTTTTTTCCCCCCATTCATTCATTGTTATACTTTTCTCCCCTCCCAACCTTCACCCTAGTATACTACCCTCTTGGAAAATTAAAAGAAAAATTCTTTCATTGTTTTACAAACCCTCCCCCAGGTCCACTCCACCATATAGACTTCACTTTAGACTCCTGTCATGACAAAAATACCTAATCACATATCCCTTTTAAACAGTTTTCTCCCTCATCTGTTTCAATACAGTATACATTATTGAACCCATCTTTCTCAGTCTCTCCCCAATCCCAAGGTCAGTCCTGTTTTACAATAGTGGCACCATGCAGTATTTGTCCTTTTGTGACTGAGATACTTCACTCAGCATAATGTACTCCAGAGTCACCCATTTTTTAAAAATTTTTTTTATTAAATTTTATTAGTTTTAATGAACATTTACAGAGATTTTGGGTTTTCATTCATAAGAGTCACCCATTTTGAATAATATTTCATGAGTGTCTTGTTTTTCGGTGCAGCATAGTATTCATAGATTCAGTGACTGGGGTTCTGGGGGTAGTTGTGTCAGAGACAATAAGATTAGCACAGGAGAGAGCAGGGTTTAGGGCTGTTGTACATAGGGTCGCTATGAGTCCGTAATGACTTGATGGCACATAACAACAACATAGGAAATCTTTAAAAGATTTTATATGCGAAAGTATTTTGGGGTAGGACTGAGAAAAACTGGATAAATTGTGTATACTGCACTAAAGCAGATGAGGGAGAGAATAATTTAAAAGCGATGTATGATAGGGTATTATGGTTGTCACAAGAGTCCACAATTAAGGTTGCATAGTGGGATGTACTTGGGGCGGTGGGAGGGGTGTGAGGGGATTGTGTACCAGGGATGGAGTATTTCTTTTACTTTTCAAAGAGAGGAGCGAACTGGGGGGTGGGGGGGACTGGGGGGGTGAGAAGTGCAGCAATGAATGAATGGAAATCCAAAATCTCTGTAAATGTTCATTAAAATTATTAAAATAAAAAGAAATTCTTGGTGTATATGGATTATACCACCAGGGCACCTATGCATTAGGCTGAATTCCTGATGGGTGTGGCATGGAAATAAAAGGAATGATGTAACATTTCTGACTATTAAAGAATTTATTGGCATATTTTTCAAGTGGATCATGGAATATAAAACCACTTGATTAACTAGATTGCATTAAGTGAGTTCAGTATTTGGAACATAGCAGCAATTCCATCCTTTACAGTAATTGTATCACTTTGGCTGAAAAGTTCCAGACATCACTTGAAGTACAGTGGTAGACAGATCTTCAAAATGTAGGAAGCATATGAACAAAAAGTTTTTAAAATCATTGTCTTGGCCCACTTAAACTATTTGTAAACTTATGGTAGAAAACTCCCATGTTGTTATGTGCTGTTGAGTCAGAACTGACTGACAGGGGACCCTCTAATGGGTTTAAGTTGCACAGGAGGAGATTGCCCATCTTTCTCCCATGGAGCAATTCAGAGCACATGCCTTTGCATTGGTAGTACAACTCCTTGCCACCCGGCCACCAGAGCTCCCTGAGAAACCCTATGTTCAAATTGTGTAGTCAGGTCATTGCTGGTACGTCAGAACCGAGGCATAGTTCATCCTCCAGCGGGTTTCAGAGGCTGTAAATCCCGGGGGTGGGAGGTGGGGGTGGCAGATTGCCTTCTTTCTCCTGAGAAGCCATTTATGGATTTAAGCCGTTAGAGAGGCACAGCATTTGGATTCACAGCTCATCTCCGTACCTACGACACCACTAGAGCATCCTCAAATTATGCCTTTGAGCTGTGGTGCTAGAGAAGAGTATTGAGGGTACCATGGACCGCTAGGAAAACAAACAGATTCATCCTGGAAAGGGTCAAACCAGGCAGCTCCTTGGAGGCAAGGATTCTGAGGCTCTGTCTAACATACTTTGGACGTGTTGTAAGGAGGGATCGGTCCTTGGAGAAGGACATCATGCTGGGGAGGGTGGAGGGACAGTGCAGGAGGGGAAGACCCTCTATGAGGTGGATTGATTCGGTGACTGGGGCAATTGGGATGGGTATATTGGAGATGGTGTGATTGGCACAGGACAGAGCAGAGTTTAGGGCTGTTGTACATAGATAGGGTCGCTATGAGTCGCAAGCGACTTGACGGCACATAACAACAACAACAGCTACAACATAGTATTTTGTATTGAAAGACTCCATCTTCTCCTTGCTTTTTACCCATATTTGTGGTTAATCATATTGACTGCTTGGTGGAGTGGTGACCCATTTGCTCCATTGCTGAGATTCTACCTGACTCAAAGGGAATACCTTTTTCTTTGTTTTTAAATATTTACCTTTTTTTTTTTGGTCAATGTTTCCATGGCAAATAAGGAACTCATTTGACAGGGAACTCTTTGACCTCGTGGGTGAGAAGTGCTGTCAACCCGAAGGCAAGGAGTATGAATCAATCGGCTGCTCCATGGAAGAAAAATCAGCAGTCTCCTCCCATGCAGTCTACTGCCTCTGAGAACCTGCTGGGTTGTCAGAGGGTCAGCTGTGAGTCTGCACCTACTTGGCAGTACATACAACAGTTACTCATTTGCCTACCTAAAAGGTGGTTGTTGTGTGCCATCAAGTTGGAACTGATCCATGGCTGAGCGAGTGGATTTTCAGAGGCAGTAAATCACATTGGAGGAGATTGCCCATCATTCTCCCACAGACCAGCTGGTGGATTCGAACTGTGTACCTTTGCATTGGCAGCACAATTCCTTACCCCAAAGCCACTAGACAGCTCTAAGTGAAAAGTAGTACCTTCTTCCCACCTTTTGGGTTTTTTTGGGGTCAAAGTTTTTTTGGCAAATAAGATTCCTGTTTGACAATTTCTTTGCAGATAGCTTGTGAACATTAGTGATGTATCCTACATTGTGTCAGCCTTCTTCATTTCCTTCCAGTTGTCCCATTTTTGGAACTCTAGTTTCTCTGCCTGTTTATCTTCCAGTTTTTGCTGTTCTGTCATTGTTGCCCTTTGGGCCTCATACAGGTTTGTGTTGGTTGCTGTAGTTGTTTTTTAAACAGAGTCCTGTCCTCACGAGTCACATCCTAACATCCCGTCTTACCTGTTGCATTTCCCAGGATGAAGGAGCAGTGATTCCCGAGCTTTCTGACATTTCCAATAGGGATGGCCGTGCTACTGATGAAGAGAAGCTGGCGTCCACGTCTTCTAGTCAGAAGCCAGCAGGGCCCGAGGTGAAAGGTGAGCCAGAGGACGACCTGGAGTACTTTGAATGTCCCAGTGTTCCCGTGTCTACCATAAATCATGCGTTTTCATCCTCAGAAGCAGGTATGGAAGCGTATCTTCATTTTTTTAACACACATAAGCATCGGCATGTCGGAAATCCTACAACAGGAGGTGCTTTAGATGAAAGCAATGAGTCAGTTGACAGGTAGATTTAGGATACCAATCTTAAACTTTACCTGGGGAGAGAACACAGCAGGGTCTCATAGAAGTACTAGGGACTTAGGGTCAGTGTGGCAGGATGTCCAGGAGAAAAGAGGAGATTGTTTGAATTGTGATTGTATTTTAAACCCCTCATATTAGAAAGTTAACTCACTCACTCATTGTGATTGAGTCAGAACCAACATACAGTTGATCCTCCATCAGATTTTTAAGAGATTATAAATCACACGGGCAGAGATAGCCCGTCTGTCTCCTGAGGATCGGCTGGAGGATTTGTTCTGCCGGAGAGGCGCCAATGTTTGCTGAGCAGCTCAGCCGCCTACGGCCTGTGGCACCGGAGCTCACAACCTTTAAGTAAGGGCACTATAAACATGTACATTTAAAAAACAAACAAAAAAACCAAACATGTACATTTGACTTTATTTATGATTATTCTTATTGTTTTACTTAAATTATAATACTTAACAGATACAGTGCCTTCCCCACTGAATGCTTTCTCTGAGTAACCATTCATGCTCACTAGGTAGTGTTATTTCCTTCAGTTTGCAGAGGAGGAATGTGAGGCACGGAAGTTAGATGATTTGCCCAAGGACAGTTCTACCACTAATGAATAACAGGATTCTAACCCATGCCGTCCATTTCCATTATTTTTAACCACACTTGCTAAAGAGTGAAGAGCTTGTTTTTATTACGTTAGGAAATACTTATAAATATTATAAATGGAGTCACCTTGAGCTAAAATGATCTCAAAAGCAATAAGTTTGATCTCTTTTATTATAAAAATATATATTCTTGTTCACAGATGTGATGGATTGAAATTCCCCTGCAAAATTCCTTAATATTCTAATTAAAAACCTGGACTAACCTGTGCTGAACCCTCCTACTGTTAGATGCTCTTTTCTGAGTCCCAAGTTACATTTCTGGCCCTAAATACTACTAAAAACTCGGATGCTTTCAGTAGAGTAGTTTATTTTGAGGCTTTCTAACTTGGAATTTTTTAAAATCATGATCAGCTTATCAAACCAAGGAAGCTGTTATCAATATAAAGTCAGGCTGTTCTCTTATACTCCCTGGGCTTCAGTTCTTATCTGTAAACTGCCTGTGTCTGCATTGTCCAGATTTCTTCCAGAAATGTCCCTTTCTGCTGACATCGGACATCAAAGACTTTGTTTATCATTCCCTTTTAATTCCCATAGTTATAACGGGTATTCCCATTATTATAATTGTTATGTACAAAACCAACCCATAGCTGACCCTCCAGCAGGTTTTCAGAGGCAGTTAATTGCAAAGGAGAAAGTTGCCCGTCCTTCTGCAGAGCAGCTGGTGGCCTTGAACTGCATGCCTTCAGGATTGCAGCGCAGCCTCTTGCCATCAAAGCTCCCGTGCAGTTTAATCCTGTGTACTTTTGTAAATTGTAGTTCTTTCTTCTTTCTGAACTACCTTGTACCATCTCCTATAAAATGTCTGCTCATCCTTTCAGGTCTGTTTCAAATCCTACCTGTCTTCCACCTTCTTTTATGCTCCCACCACATTTCTTCTTACAGTGCCCATTACTCAGCAGCTGTGCTGGTTTTAGTTATAAAAACATAAGTTATGACATTATAAAAAAGTCAACTATTATAAAGTTATATTTAAAACAAACAAACAGAAAACAAACCCAACAAACCAATCTCTGGTGGCATAGTCCATAGGGAATTGCTGCTAACCCAGAAAGACCAGGCGTTGGCCAGCACTTGGAATCCACTGGTGGGTCTTTACATGCCATCTCCTCCCATTGCAGTTTACAACCTCAAACCAAATGGAGGGTGTCTGTGAGTCAGAACAGACCTGACACAGTGAATTTGAGGGTTTTTAAAACTGTTAAAATGTTTTGAGCTTTGGGACTGGAAGAGGGTCACCTTTGAACTTGTGATGTCAAATGTAGCAGGTATGTGGTAAATATTTGCTGTCAATTAACTATATTTCCCATTAGGAAGAAATTACTTTGACAGAAATGAATAGAGTTTAAAGTCTACTAGGTACTGTGCTTTCCTCAAAGTTAGTGAAGAGTTCGATAGCCAGTGTTTGGAGGCACTCACCATCCGTGTGTGGGATGCATTTAAACACTGGTAACTGATAGAGAAAACCAAGGCCACAGTCGCAGCAGCGGGACAACAGGCCGGGTGCACAAATCAGGGGTTTCCTAGGGAACTGCCCCTTTTGAGCTGGCTCATGATGATTAGCGTAGATGTGTGTCGGGGAACCAAAGTCTCACACAGGAGTTGGAAGGAACACCCCCTGTTGGTAAAGTGCCCCCTAAGCTTTCTGTGAAGGACAGAGCACGTGGGGCATGAGGTTGTGCAGAGGAATTTTGCCCCGATCTTCTATTATGGGGGTGAGGGTGGGGGTGGGTTTATGAATTATGGTCACATTTGTATTTTAAATAATTGGCAGGTAGTACATTAAAATAGTATTTAGTTGTTGCTTTAAGGAAGGCAATAGCTTTTAAAAAAAATTGGTATGCTTTTTCATATTTTCAGATGTGAAAATTCTGCAATGAGTACACAGTCCTTTCATTAGAAAAAGCATCACATTGGGATTTCTGTTTGGTTTTTTTAGTTCCCCTGGTGGATGGTAGAGTGAAAGGTAGACATGGAGGCCAAGAAGCCAGTTTGAAGGGTATTGGGAAGATAGTGAATTTCATTTAGCAGGCATTGACAGTTATAGCTTATGATCTTATCTGATTCATTGATTAAATTGAGAGGACCTAAAGGGTCTGGAATTTTCGTATACTCACACTTGATAAAAATATCCTTTGATATTATCATGGTTTCTAACCCTTTTTAACAAAATCCCATAGTTAGCACAATGCATCTGCAAACTCCCAGCGAACACAAGGGGGCAGCCTTGCTCCTCCCACCTGAAGAGTGCTGGTTGCTTTACTGCCAGCTGCTCTCCTCTTTCTTCTAAATACTGTAGATTTTTTTTTAACTTCATCAGCAGAATGCCAGTGCTCCTTTTAAATCCTTGAAATACTCATCATGTGTCCTTCACATCATGCTGGTTTTCTCTGGGATTTTAGGAGACTTCCGGTAGCAAAATAAAGGAACCGACTTCTTGGGATAACTATAAAAATGACTCTTTGTGTTTTAGGTATAGAGAAAGAGACGTGTCAGAAGATGGAAAAAGATGAACCTGCTGTGCCTGTAAGTCCCTAAATTTGGAGGGGGAAGTGGGGAGCTCTTTCCCCCCTAAAACATGGTTTGAAACCCATATTAATTTACTAATATATTCTAGTCAATGTTAAATGATTAAGATCTGATGTAAATGAAGTAATTTCTCCATTTCAGTGCATAGTGTGATCCTGTAACGTCCTCTGGAGTTGCCACGAGCCACATGTGCCCACAGCTATAGCAAAGCCAAAATGAGATGTCCCGTATGAGTGTAATGCCAGCAGCTATGGAAGACTCAGTACAAGAAAACTCGTTATTAATAATTGTTTCCATTATTTACATCTTGAGATGATAAATAGGGGGCTCTGGTGACCTAGTGGTAAGAAGGTGTGCCATAATCCCAAGGGCACGTGGTTTGAATCCACCAGCAGCTCTGTGGGAGAAGGATGGGCAGTCTCTTCCCGTGTAATTTACTGCTTCTGAAAACCCACCAAAGGGTGAGTTATGGATCAGGTCTGATTCAGCAGCACACAGAACAGCCACACAATGGTTGAGCTGTCTTGGATTAGCTAAACCATATTTTTAAAATTAATTTGACCTGTGTTTTTTTATACCATATTTATCTTTAAAATGTGGCTACTAAGAAATTATACTTCCATTGATTCCCTTGATAATAGATAGCAAATACAAACCAGTAATAAAATCATGAGGCCATGAACTAAAGAAACTTGTTTCACAATAGAGAACCATGGACAGAGTATGAGATAAAGGAGGAACAAGGCTCACAAGCCCCTCAGTGGCCTTCCTGGGCAGACAGACTGGTGGAACTCCTAAGCCTTAGTCCTTTGAGTCCGAAACTGAACTTACCTCTGTGGCCCAAGCTTGCAACCAAACAAGAGACAGGTCTATAAGGTGCAAAAGAACGCCAACAAGGGACTCAGGAACTTGGTCCTTGGAACAGTCAACTACGCAGAGACCCAAGGGCAATATTTTTCTAGCAATAAAGCTTAGAAGGTGGGAAGGGAGTAGCAGAAGGACAAAGGGAAATGGAACAAGACTGAGAGATAGAGGAGTGGACAAGACAATGTGGGCATTGTAATAAATGTCATAAAGCAAAACATCTATGAATGTTTGACTGGAGTACCAGTCTGCTCTGTACATTTCACTCCAATTCCAAAAAGTTTAACAAACAAACAAAAACAACCAAAAATGAGAGATGGTGTTCTAGGGACGAGAACATGGCAAACATCAAGAAGATTGGGGTTGAGCAAATTAAGAACTTTTTAAAAAGTTTTCTTTTTTTATTAAATTTTATTAATTTTAATGAACATTTACAGAGATTGTGGGTTTCCATTCATTCATTGTTGCACTGTTTTCTCTACCCTCCCCCCCAATTCGTTCTTTTTCCCCCCCCTTGAAAGTCTGTTTTAATTGTCCCATTGCCACAGTGCTTGTCAAAGCCAGTTCTGATTAATCTCCTTTGTCAGTCTGTCATTTGCCATTCTCTATCACTCCTCCATGAGAGAGACTTCACCCTGATTCATAAGGAAAAGGGGACGGAATTTTCTCTTAGCTACTTCCTGCTGAAAGGGACGCTGTAGGTTTCAGGGTGAAGATCTTCTCTCACTACTCTAAAGGGCCCCTTTGGCAATAGGAAACACATAGACTATTATGGAGATTGATTTTGGAATTTAGATGCACTGTTAGCAATTGTGCTTAGCCATCCGTACATGTTCATATCTTGAAGATGTATCATGGAACTGTTGCAACCTAGAAGACACAAATTTGACTAACAAGTTAAAAGTACATGAGTCAAAAATTAAAAGCAATAATATTCCAAGTAGAGGTTCTAACAGTGGCACAGATCAAGTTACAGAGGGAAGGTAGTTTTTAAAATATAAGGACTATTGACTAGCACTTTGTCTATTATAAAGGTTAGGAACCACAAGATGTAGAGGCTCAGCTATGTCATTTATTGTTCTTAAGTCCTGGACCTAATTCCATCTACCACTGGGTTGTTTTACAACTCAGAAGTCCGCATGCAAGGCAGAGGTGAAGTAAGGAACTGCTTATGAGGTTTTCCGTCAATTCCAACAACTAAGAAATAGTGAAAAGAGTTGGGACCTCAGAAGGCTTTTAGGACCAAATAGTAGGCTCTTGTGTCCAGGAGAAAACGAATATACTTACCAGTAATGTTAATGCTCACCCACAGTTCTTCTGGGAGGATCTAAATCATTGAAACGTCCTCCTTTGTTTCCAGCTGGGAGCTGGAGCCTGTCAGTCCTGTCAGCAAAAGTTTTCTTTTTAAATCACTTTAAACTTGGGGGGAAAATTACACAAAACTCTTTCTGCACCTCAAATGTTAATATTTTAAGTAATTGTAGTCCATTTGTTGAATAAGTAGTAAAACTGAGCGCTATGATGTTGCTTCTGACACACAGAGACCTCATGTGTTATGACGTAGAACTGAATTCCATAGTCTCCTTGGCGGTAATATTTGCAGAAGCTGATCTCCAGGCACCAGGGTAGAAAGCTACTGAGTGGGCTCGAACTGCTGACCTTTCACCTGGTAGGTGGCTCCAAACAGTTTGTGCCACCCAGGAAGCTTCAGGGATACCTGGCCATTATGCAATCTATAAACCTTATTCAGTTGTCTTATTAATGTTCTGTGTATGTGTGTGTTGGATTCCATACTGGATCACATAATTGCATTTCATTCTCATCTTTAATCTCCTTTAATCTAGGACAGTTTGTTAATATGGCCTGCATACTTCTGAAAAGTACTAGATAGCTATTATCTTTCAATATGAATTTTCTAATTATCCTTCCATTTGAATTTGTCTACTATTTCTTTATAATCATTTGATGCTAATACAACAGAATTGATATTGTGGATGTCACTGGTGGAGCTGATTTCAATATGGTGGCGTATACCACCTTTTTCCATTTGAACTAAATTTTTTTTGTTTGAGTTTTTGATAGTTAAATACAGGAAAGTTTATTAAGCGAGAGAAGCACTCTGCTACAGAGCAGAGCCACCCCAAGAGTAGAGCAATAAGAATGGACCACACTTGTACTAAATTTTAATAGGGTGATAGAGGTTTTCTGGACAGATCAGGCAAGAAAGGACATTCCTTTGGAAGAAATGGTCTGTCTGCTGCAAAAGCAGAAAGTAAGAACAAACTTGGCCTGTAAAATGTTCATAATCTAATGTGATCAGAGGACAGTTCGTAATGGTAAACAGGAGCCAGATCATAAGGAGGCCTGGGTATTGGGTCAAGGCATTTGAAATTCATGGCGGAAGAATTAGGGAACCACGGTGGGATCTGAAGTGGGAACAGAGGACTCCATGATAGTTGAGAAGGAGGAGTAGAGTCTCAGTGGCTGGGGTGACAGGTGAGGAGGGTGGTGAGGAGAAAGGGGAAGAGCTTATCCAGTTTCTGTCTAGAAGATCTAAGTGCTCACCGCTTTTGTTTACTGACCCTTTGAGGGAATCCTCATGTCAATAGATATTATCTCTGTCGTCACACACACACACCCCCCCATACACACACTCGCAGTGAGTTTTCAAAGCCACAAACCTGGCAAACACCAACTCTTCCTCCTCCATCTTTACCATAGGCAAGCTCTGTGGTTTCTGTATCGAGAATATCTTGTAAATCCATCTACGTCCCTCTGGCTATTCTAAACATGATAGTAGTTTCTTAACTGTCTCCCTGTTTACAGACTCATTCTCTGTTTCAGCCATTTACATAAGCAAAGGAGTGATATGTTTTAAACAGAAAACTGATCTTGTTACTCTTAAATATTTTTATCTTTTTACTCTTACTCTGAGCTACCTGGTTTCCCGCGCTCTGGCCCCCAGCCACTGCCCAGCCTCAGCTGTGTCTTATTTCCCTGACACACTGGAAACCTCCCTAGTTGTCTAGAACTCCTTAAGTTTTATGAACCCACTGTTGGGTTGCTCTTTGTTCTCGACAAGCCTGTGAGCCTTAGTGAAGGTGACGAGCCATGAATGTCTTCTTTGCTGTTGTTCCCCAGAAAATGCCATGGTAAACATTGCTGAATACAAACCTAGTTTTCTTGTCTCTAAAAATGGGATGCCTGCCTCCCTTCCTGTGAGAGGGTCAGACTCCACTCCACTACCACCACCACCATTACCACCACCATCACATCACTACCACCACCACCATTACTGCCACCATCACATCACCACACCACCACCACCATCACCATCACCACCATCACCAC